CACGTCCCTACCCTACCACGGCCCGTCATGGCCCAGCTGCTCTACACTCCCAACACAAAGAACTGAGCCACCGAATTATCGATCACCTGCAGCCACGACCCCAAGCGCTCCTTCTCAACAGTTTCATACGGTAAGCAAAAATGGGACGGAAAAAGAATGTACTAAACGATAAATTGTAATGGTTTGCGAAACCAAGTTTCGTGGGTGCTCCTACTGGAGTTCCCATCTCTAAAGTGTTCATATTACTGCAGGAACACACCGCTGTGTGTAAATCACCAGTGCACCGAAGGGGAGGTGGTGATCGGTGGAATGAGGCTGAGAAACAAATCCTTACTTCCTTGAATTGAACCGCACACCCAAATGATTATCGTGCACGTACATGTGTGTTCGAAGGAGGAGAACTCGACGGGATGGACGAGATAGGCTAGCTAGGCGTTGATTCGGGCGAACGCTGCGGCAGCTTGGATTGTGCCAATGGTCAGATAAGCTCAAGGGGTGAGTGGTACCGACCCGGAGAGGGCTGTGTGGTGTGTGGAACTATGGCTGATGTGTCGGTTCTCGGTAATTGGAGGTACTCCACCCCCTACAGCCCATGAAAAAAGTATTGTTTGTGCAAACGAATCACGCCCTTTCGCTCCCAACCACTGACCCTTGTTGTTGTGATCGACTTGGCGCGCTCATATGGACAATCGGATTGCGCCTAAAAGAGGAGGGACAGTCCCGTGGGGTTTGGCCGCGCAACCCTCTATAGATGGGAGAGAATCGCGGGAGGATGGGCAATGATGGTAAGCGAGGAACACCCTAATGACATAATGATGCTATGTCGTGTTCCCCCGATGCTGCATGTATCTCTCTTGTTCGGCGTATGTAGACGCCATCCACATTTGCCATCGATCGCCTTCAAACACTTCGTAGCCCGGGATTTTTCATTTTCCGTATCCGCGGTGTTTCATGTTTGAAACTTGAGTTGCGGATACAGCAGTGCTAACGCTGTCTCCTGCTCCCCACCGGTCCCGAAGAGCAAACCCGAATATCAGTGATACAAATCGCAGATAAGTGTAACCGCGCGCCGCAGGGCTGAAGATGCCTGGTTTTTTCAATGTGTCGCCGACAAAATAGGTGGGCGCCTAGCTCCCATCATATTTGTTCGGCCGTTGCTGCTGCATGCTGTTCTTGTCTCCGTCGCCTGCATCTTGGCGAATCTGCGGTATTCTGTAGCGCGAACAATCCTCTCGCGCTTTCTAAAACCTCATGCGAGAACTGTGTGTTATTGAAAGACAAGGGAAACCGCGATCAGGTCAGGAACAGCTCCATGCTAGCGGTGGAGAAGCTCCCTGCTTCGCGCGAGCTTGTCTAACTTTGTCTTGAATTTGAAAAATCCCAACTCCACACCTGCGTTTCGTGGCAGGCGAGAAAGACCAAGGCATGTCTGGCGCGCTCTCCGCGAAGGATGAACGGAGGAATAAGCAGGGTGCATCCGAGATGCATCGTTCGGCATCTTTGCGGTCAACATACTCTACGCTGCCTCGCCTCGTTGGGTTGTGCTTGTTTAGTTTTAGACTCAAGCTTCAGGATTTGGACGGTCGGTTCTTTTCAACAGTAAAGCAAAAAAAATATATAGCGGGACCTTTTGTGTTGGGTGGGCACTCTCTTCTACNGCGGTCAACATACTCTACGCTGCCTCGCCTCGTTGGGTTGTGCTTGTTTAGTTTTAGACTCAAGCTTCAGGATTTGGACGGTCGGTTCTTTTCAACAGTAAAGCAAAAAAAATATATAGCGGGACCTTTTGTGTTGGGTGGGCACTCTCTTCTACGGGCCTTCTAGACAAAGAAGTGGGGAACCGCACAATAAGTACGGGAGGCGTACCAATTTTGCACGCGCCTCTACATGCTTGAATTTTGGGCATACGGTTGCTGTTCGCGTAAGAGGACCGCAACGCATCGTCTCCCGACGTTGCCAATGCTGTATACAGAGACGTGTACAAACAGTCACGACGAACGTGCCTAGGATATTCATTTCGCTGCCTCTCGACCTTTATTCCATGCGGCTGATTTCCAACCTGTTGCGACAACAGCAAGCACGAGGGGCGCTACTAACACCAACGCGAGAACCTTCTGCCACACCACTGCTGATACTACTTATTCGATAAAGGCTGACCATTTGACTACGTGCACAGTCATCGGATGACTGTGCACGTAGTCAAATGGTTAGCCTTTATTGAAAAAAAAATACACTCTCGGCTCGTAGCCAATCCCAGTGGATCTGATAGGGTGTAGTGATCTCCGGGGACGGACCCCACAAGGCGGTGGTGGTGGAATGCCGAGGAAATCCTGCCGGAACACTGCAAGCAGCGCGAACCCGGCGATTACAAAAACAGGTGTGAAAATGACACTCATTGAGCGTCAATCAGGTTTCACACTGATTAGAACAGATATTACACATGATCTTAGCCAAAAGGCCGAGAAGGTATCTTTTATTCGATAAAGGCTGACCATTTGACTACGTGCAGTCATCCGATGACTGTGCACGTAGTCAAATGGTCAGCCTTTATCGAATA